AGCACTAGTTTTAAATCCATGGGTGAGCTCGCAAGCTGACCCGCACAAGAGCGAGCCCAGAAATCCACATCTTCTCCTTACTCTCAGGTCCACCGCCTCCTCCTCCTCCCGTTCGTGGACTTCCCAAGCTGCCGCATCCTCCCTGTTGCTTTCATCCAAATATTTCTCTCCGACATGTCCAAGAAAGCCTGGCCTTCGCTGGCTGTGGGCCCCACATCATCTGGATGGTCACGTTCCTCCACTTCGGCCATTCGGGGGCGAAGAAGGCTGACCCTCTCCAGAATCGCCTCCTCGTGCCAATACGAAATCAGAGTAATAACTGATGGTGATGATGATGACGCTGAAGACGTCGATGCTTATGATGAAGACGACACGACGAAATCGAGAAAAGACAAAAATCCAAAACGAAAACCCCAGCAGGACGTGAATAGGCTGAGCTGGGAACCACAGATACGGGCATTCGTGACATCACGTGGCCGTGCGGCGGCCAAGGGCTTCTACGAGGTGGACGGGGATGGGGAGGAGGCGAAGGGAGGGGGAGGAGGGAGAGGAGAGAGAGGAGGGAGAGGAGGGAGCACGAGGAAGGAGAGATGGCGTCCGGGATGGTGGGTTGCAGCTGTCCCGGGTACCTTGCTGGCAGCAGTCTCCCTCAATGGGCGGGCGCGTGGACTAGCCTGAAGACTGCGTCACCAAACACACACACACACACACACCTATCCCGTCGGCGGCCCGTCGAGTGTCAACGCTGCGAGTACTGTGGCAAGCCACGCCAAGTTCAACTACCCCGTGGCGTTGCACATGGGGGGGTCAAGACGTGGACACGCGCTCGTGTCTCCTCCTGGCGGGCGCGCAGGCACACCCCCCTTGGCTCGGCAGGCGCGCGCGAGGCCTCGCGCCGGTGAGTCCAGCGGCCAGAACCGACGAGCAAGCGACGAAGCACCCATCGGCGTCGATCGCAGGCACGCACAAGTTTTCTCCATACGCGCCGATGAGACCAATCAGCAGAAGACAACAACTGGTGTAGGATGGCTCCAGTTAATGCACCACCACGAGACCTGGCCAGGCTCATCCTGGGCCCTGGACTGGTGTACAGGCCCTCCTGGCCTAGGGCTGAAGTCTATACACCCACCCAGGGCCCAGGATGGACCTGGCCAGGGCTGGCGGAGGTGTGCTGTTGGCGTCCCTCCGAAGAGGGCGCCCGCAAGAAAATGGTCCGCCTTGTGCGGACACGCGTTCAGAACAAGGACCCCGCGATGCGTCGGAGGTAACCGACCAGCACCAAAAAAAAACAGGCGGGCGCACGTCAAGAAGAGGGGGGCGAGGGCGGAAGCGGCGGGGGAAGCAACCGCTGCTGTCCTCTCTTGCTTGTGGTACGGCGTGGCTGTGACACTGCCCCCGATAACACGATCCGCTCCAAACTGTGCTCTTCTTCGGCAGCGAGCCCGGAGGGAGAGCGAGAAGGGTTGCGCCTTCTCTTAGGGAGTGAAGAACGGTATAACATAAATTCTTCGCCGTCGATGACGCCTGTTACGGGGCGGCTGGACATGTTATACTCATACGGTGGCACAACAGGGCATAAACTTTGCAGCCGCCCTGGGAGAGGCGTCCCCGGCGACAACAAAAACAATTTATACCGTTCTTCGCCCGCTAATTCTCAGAGGGCTCGGAAGTCCCCTGGCCTTTTGTGATGCTTACTGAGCTTTCCCCGAAGACACTGAAAACATCTCAGAAGGAGCGTGGGCTTCTAAGAAGTCCCGCCGCCTTCTGAGAAGCCTTTTCCTTCTCGTTCCCCCCCTCGCTCGTCACCGATTTTTGAGCGTCGCGATCCAGGCCAAGCCGCAGGGCGTCCAGAAATTCCGCGGGCTCGCGCGCGCCGTCTATCGGGGATACACTGACCCGGTTCAGTCCAGACCTTGGTCAGTCGGGCCGTGCAGCATCCTGCAAAAACCTGCAGGATCCTGCACCCAAGCCCGGATCAGTGCACCCCTGGCCCTGCAGGATCCTGCAAGATCCGGCGCTACGACTGGCTCACGTTTGCATTGACCCTCGTCTCTCGAGCCCCGAGGCTACACTCAACCCATATCACAAGGATGGGCAGTGAGGATGCCAGGGCATTGGAGGCTCACGTGCACGTTCTTCGAGCGAGCTCGGCCAACGAAAATCGCTGAGGATGGGCCGAAGAGGCAAGGATGCAAGGGGCACCCTTGCAAAGGTTGCCTATCCTCACTTCGCGGGTTGACTGTAAGAAGTAAGAAGGTCGCCGGGCCCTCGCGGGGGAAGGGCGGGGCGGGGGAAGGCAGCGGCCGCAGCATGGGGGCGCCAGGAGCGGGGGGGAGCGGAAGCAGCGAGGGCCGCGGGAGAGGAGCGCCGGAGCTCGCGGGCGCGCCCAACGGGCGGCGGCGGGGGGCAACGGCTGCCAAACGTGAAGGGGCCCAAGGACACACAAGAAAGTAGACTTGAATCGGGCATGTCCTCCTGCAGGCGGATTTTGCAAGAAAAATCAGAAATAGTCCACATAGGTTCAAACAAAAAACAAAATGGATGATTACTATTTTCAAATCCCAGGGATCCCCATATTTCTCCATATTTTCAAGCCTTTTGTCTTTCTCTCCAAATCCATATTTCTCGGGAATCGACGATGAGTTGCGTCTGTGTTTTTTCGCCTCCTGGAAGCGGGCGACCGCCAGGCGGTGAGCAGGACGCGTTCCCGTCCCAGCGCCAGGAGGGGAGGAGACAGCGAGGCAGACACGGCACCGTCGCCGCGGCTGCCGCGGGAGGAGAGGGAGGCAGCGGGCCGAGGCGGTGCGCCCATTCGGCGGGCGATCAGCACGGCGAGGTCGTCGTCGGGGATCCGCCAGCCGAGAAGTCGCGCGGAAGGGGCCAAACTGTCAAGCGCGCTGGGGCGAGGCGGCGCGCCGAAGAGGGGGAGCGAGGCGAGGCGGCGGGGAGAGCAGAAAGACGCGGCGCAGCGGGCGCGCACCAGGGTTAGGTCGGGCATGCCCCCCTACAGGCGGATTTTGGAAGACGAAAAATGGTTAGTCTATGAAACACAGGAAAACAACATAAGAATAAGAATAAGAATAAGCATAAGAAGAAGAAGAATATTAATAATAATAACAACAATACTAATGAGAATCATAATAATAATCATCATACTAATAATAATAATAATAACAACAACAACAACAACAACAACAACAACAACAACAACAACAGAAGTAATCAAAAAAAAATCGAAAAATCGCCCGCTGCTAATTTTTGGCGACTTTTGAATCTTCCACCCGTAGAGGGACGATGTTTCTAACAATTTTGGTTGTTTGCAATGTTTGGGGTGTATTTCCATTTCTCTTCAAAAAACTGCCTAAAGGAGGACATGCCCGACCTAAACTTACCACCAGAGTTCTGGGAAGGAAACTCCGGAGGCGCGGGGCGAGAGGGGGGGGAAGGCTGACCACCTACAAGACAACCCAACCCAACCCGAAGACCCGAATTTCGGGTTGGGGGGGGGTACGGGCTCAACATGCGTTTTCTCAGTGTTCCCCGACCCCCCCTCCACTGAAAATGGGGGGCAAATTGAGGCCTTCGGGTTGGGGTGGAGCGGTTTCGTCGGTGGTGAAAGGCGGCAGCGCCGACGCGGCGAGCGCAGCCAGGACAGGAGGCGCGCTGGGGGTGGGGAGGAGCCGTCGCCTCCGCGGGGGGCGGGCGCTCCGCGGAGGAGCCGCGCCGAAGATATCCAGCAGCCCGAGGCGCCAAGGCAAGAGAGCAAGCAAGATGGCCAAGCATTAGGTCGGGCATGTCCTCCTACAGGGGATGTAGAACAGAAAAATCAAAAATATTCCCCTACAAAAGCAAATGACTCAAAAAAACGTCCCCTGACGACTACTTTTGATTATTATTCTTCCTGTAGAGGGACAAGCCCGACTTAAGCCAAGCATCCTGGCGGAGGGAGGCGTGGGCTAGTAGGCGAGGACACTCCTGGTTCCTGCCAACATTCGCATCGGAAAGCTCACCGCCGACAGCGGCAGTGTCGGTACCGCCGCGGGCTGAACTGAACAGCCAGGCAGGAGGAGGAGGAGGAGGAGGAGAAGGAGGAGGAGGGGGAGGATGTCCAGCCAGGCAGCGTCGGCACCGCCGCGGGGGAGCCGAGGCCTTCTGAGAAGGCGGCGGGACTTCTCGGAAGCCCTCGCGCTTTCTGAGAAGTACCCCGCGCCTTCGGGAAAGGCTGGGGGAACTTTTCAAAGGCCCAGGGGACTTCTGAGCCTTTTCGGAAGGCCCGCCCCTTCTCGCTCCCCCCCTGGGCTCGCCGCCGATCCTCTGGCCAGGCGAGACGGGACGCTGCCAAGCGGCAGACCACGGCGGCAGGGCAGCGCGGAAGGGGCGGGGCGCGGGCAGGAGCCGCGCCGGCGAGGGCGGCCGGGGCGAACGGGCACACCAAGGCGAGCCGGCGCAGCCAGCGTCTGACAGGCGGAGCCCGCTCCGAGGGAGCTCCCCGGGCGAGCAGGTTTCGGCGCGAGGCGGGCGGAGAGAGCCGGGGGCCGAACCTGGCCACCAGCGTCAGGCAGGCGCCCTGGCGTGCCCCAGACAGTGGGCACAAGACCGCACTCGACCTGGCCACGAGGCGCCGAGCAAGAGGGACTGGAGGCTCACGATGCGCACGATCCTCGCGCCACTCACGGCAATGGGCGCCCCCCGCCCAACGCTTGCGTGGATGCCGTTGTCTTTCCGAATGCCTTCAGCGACGGGCGCGCTACGAGTAGGACGCTCCGGCCGCGCGACGGAGACTCCTGCCCGCGCCCAGAGCGCTAGCAGGATCGACACTCCAGGGCGGGCGGGCGGTTGGCGCAGCGAGCGCTCGAGCTGAGCCAAAATGGCCACGAGTGCCTTGACTCGCGCTCGCTCAGCCCACGGCGCCTCGCTTGCCCTTTACACAATATCTAACGCACGCGGCAATGGCGTCCCCCGCCCAACGCTCGCGTGGATGCTGCTGTTTTTCCGAGCGCCTTCAGCGACGGGCGTGCCACGAGCGGGGTGCTCCGGCCGCGCGACGGAGACCCCTGCCCACGTTCGCCTCCGCTGTCAGGCACGCCACCAGCACCCCTGAAGCACTTCTGGAAGGCGGCACCGCGGGCAGCCAGGGCAATCGCACGCAAAGCCAAGCCGAACTTCCAGCCGCAACGCGCCGTCCAAAGCGGCGGCCGGGAGAACGGGCGGCCTAATACGAACGCGGCCGCGCTGGCGTGGCGGGCCGTCGACTGCGCGAAAGGGCGAAACAATGCTTGCGCCGTCCGTGCCGCGAAAGAGACAACCGGGCCGAATGCGACGGGGTTAGGTTTGCCGCCGAACCCGAGAACGCGCCACGCGACGAAGTCCCCCTCGGCGGCCTGGAGGTAGAGCGCCAGCCTGTTCCTGGGGGAAGCGTCCGACCGCGTGCGCAGTGGAACGGCTGCTCGTCGACGTGGAGCGGCACCGACATGAACGCATCCGCCAAGTCCAACACGAGTGTCCACGCGACCTCCCCCTGGCGGGCTTGCGCGGAGAGCATCGCGAGGTCGATGGCGTGGTCGTGGATCGCGGGTAGGACTTGGCGCTCGGTGAGGGCCACCGCCTCGTTGACGGAATTCGCCTTCAAGTCCTGGATGACGCGATGCTTCGCACTGCCGCCTGGCTTGGTCGCCGCCGACGTTGCCGAGCGGCGCCGGGAACACCGGCGCCCCGAAGTGCGCCTCGGCCGCGGCCCGGTTCTCGAAGAGAACCCCGAAGCCTGTTCCACGAGCACCTGGGCCTGCTCGACGCCCGGCGGACCGCCCTGGCCGCGGAGATCAACGGGTGGTTCGCGAGCTCTGCGCGGCCGAGCAGCAAAAGGCTGAGCCAAAACTGCCTAGCGCACGATTGGTCACCTATTGCATGTGCGGCGCTGAACAGCCGGCCGCATCGTGCAAGAGGCCGGCCGCGGCGTCGCTGGTTTGACGGCGCACTTTTCTTTCACCCGAACTCTGCACAGGGCCGACTTGTTCGATCGGGCGCAACGCCACGCAACGCCTTGACTCGCGCTCGCCCAACCCAAGGCGCCTCACTTGCCCTTTACACTATATCTAATGCACGCTGTAGGCCTCCAGGAAGGCCCCGTAGATCTGGTCACGGGAGGGGCCAACGGGCGGGAATTCTGCGAGCGAGCCGGCGCCATCCGCGAGCCCCACATGGCCACGATCGCCATCATCGCCAAAGCCGACGTCGGGCGCAAACAGACGTGAAACCACTTGTCGGCGGCGAGCGAGGGGGAGAAGTGAGAAGGAGAAGGCCTTCCCAGAAGACGGCGGGACTTCTCAGAAGCCCTCGCACCTTCTGGAAAGTTCTCTGCGTCTTCGGGGAAAGCTGAGGAAACATATCACAAGGCTTGGGGGCTTCCAAGCATTCTGAGAAGGCCAGCCCGGGCGCGCCGCCGAACTTGAGGCGCAGGGAGCGGGGCTGCGGGCGGCCGACCCGTCTGGGCCAGGGCCTGCGCCGGCCGGGGAGGCCGCCGACGGGGCAGGAGGCGCGCCTCCCGCCAGGAGGCGCCAGACGGGCCAGCCGGCAGGCCTGGCGCGTCCAGGGCGCCCGAGGGGCAGGCCCGCGGGTGGGCGGGCAGCGGAGCACCAGGAAACAAACGACGCCACCCCACCTGCGGCCCCACGAGACTGCGCGTATACCAGGGGATCTGGCGTGGGTTTTTTGCGCGGTGTACGCCACGGCGCCCGGTGGGCCGCAGCGCAACATGGAGGGCCGCAGACGGGGTGGTGTCGTCTGTTTTTTCGTCGGTTCACGGCCGTCCACGACGCGGACCGAACGGAAGTACGCGCAGCGGTCGTTGGCTGAGGCCGGTGGCGGGGGCAGGGACGAGCCACGTGCACGCGCACGTCGGGGCACCGGAGGCGGAGGCGGGGCTGGCCGTCCACCTGGCGAGGGAAAACGTGCACGGCAGGGTCGGGCCCTGCGTCGGTGCGGGTACCTCTGGGCCCGAGACAAGGGGCGCCCAGCCGCCACAACCGCAAAGGGCTGGCCCGCGGGGCGGTTTCCGCGCACGCCCTCGAGGCCGCCCCGTCGCATGTTCACACACTCATACATATACATATACATATATATACATATATATATATATATATGCATATACATATACATATACATATACATATACATATACATATACAAAGGCATATACACATACAAATACATATACGTATACATGTACATATACATATACATATACATATACATTTATATATATACACACACCTACTTTACATTACATTACATTACATTACGTTACGTTACGTTACATTACATCACATTACATTACATTACATTACAATACATTACATTACATTACATTACACGACCTTACATTACATTACATTACATTACATTACATTACATTACAATACACTACATTACATTACATTACATTACATTACATTACACTACATTACATTACATTACATTACATTACATTACATCGCATTACATTACATTACATTACATTACATTACATTACATTACATTACATCACACCACATCACATCACATCACATCACATCACATCACATTACAATACATTGCATTACATTACATTATATCACATTACATTACATCACATTACATTACATGGCATTACATTACATTACATTACATTACATTACATTGACATGACATGACATTTTGTTACATTACATTACGTTCCATTACACTACATTACATTACATCACACTACACTACACTACACTACACTACGCTACACTATATTACATTACATTGCATTATATTAAATTACATTACAATACATTACATTACATTACATTACATTACATTACATTACATTCATTTATACATATACTAAAGATCCATTTACATATAGAGACAGAAGGATAGACGATATATATATATATGTATATATATATGTATATGTATATATATATGTATACATACCTGCACACATACATGTTTAAAACTATGTGCAAACATACACAAATACATATATGCAAATATTTGTGTAAATCGAAATATATAAATGGCGACCACGGCCTCGCGCGCAGCGTCGAAGCGGAATGAAGTCGGAGCCGACGCGCGCGCGGCGGGCCCGTCAAAAGGGACTGCTTTGAACCCCTGCATCCCGCAGCACCAAGCCATCCAGGCGTCGATGGCGGGAAGGCGGCACGCCGCCCACCGCGGGACCTTCCAAGCGCGACGGAGCGCGAGAGCGCGGAGGAAAGGCATTTCCACCCAGGCATGGACGGCGGGGATGTGACTCGCCGCCCGACGCTGGACTTGCCGAGCGAGGGAACAGCACAAGGGCGCGGGACACGAGGAAAGCTACAAAGAGACGGTGGAAGAAAGCACGGTGGCGAGCTGCAGGACAGCGCAGCCCGCCGAAGAACACCGGGGGCCGTAAAAACAAGAGGAAAAGCGCAGAAACTGCAGAAAGAATGGTAAAAGTCGAGAGTGAACCCAGAATAACACATATACACACACACGCGCCCTTCGGTCGTCGCGGGCGGGCGCAACGCCACGCCGCCCAGCCCGCGCGCGGAGAACCACGCGCGCGCCCAGTAATGAGCCAGAAAAAAAAAGAGAAGAAAGAAGCGGCCGGCCCCTCACGGGGCACTGGCCGGGAGCGGCGCTCTGCTAGCGGGGCAGCGGGCAGTGGGAAGGCGCCGGGGCGGAAGCGGGAGGGGCGGGGCGGCGGCCGCAGCGCGGGCGCAGAGCGGGCCGCACGGGGTCGCGGCGCAGAGCGCGGGGAAGGCCCGGCAGCGGGCGGCAACGCCGAAGTTAGGCAAGTAGGGGCGGCGCCCGCAAGAAGCGGAGCCGAACGCACACCCACACACACACACACAAACAAACAAACACACACACACAAAAAAAACAAAAAAACAAAAAAAAAAAAAAAAAAAAAAAAAAAAAAAAAAAAAAAAAAAAAAAAAAAAAAAAAAAAAAAAAAAAAACAACACACACACACACACACACACACACACACACACACACACACACACACACACACACACACACACACACACATTACGTCGCAACGCGGCAAGTGCAATCCGCACGCGCGCTCGGGCAACCTAGGCGACACCACCACCACCACCACCAATAACCCCTGCGTCCGTCTGGTCGCGTGGGCACACACTCCAGATGCGCGCAAGAGCTCGAGAGTGGACACGCCAAACTCGAGCCAAGAAAAGCGCGAGACACGCCAGAAGCGCGTCGGCACAGCAGGGAGGGAAGCGGAGGAGGACGACGAAGAGAAAATGATGATGATGATGATGATGATGATGATGACGCGAGAGATGCAAAACTGGTCCACGAATATTGCGTGAGCTTAAATACTTCTGCCGCCCATTGCCGCCAGGGGCGGCCACGTTTTCTGCGGGCTGCCCAATTGCGCGGAGCGCCATCAGGATCACAAAGAACTGCTTTCACCGATGAAGAACCTGGAAGTTGACAGATGTTCCGGGTATCGCAATTTATTTATCCAATGATACGCGGGAAACTTGTCTGGCAGGCGCTCCCAAATACGAATGACTTCCTTATCCGAAAAGTGAACGAAAGAGCAATTCCCAGCGGGCGACAAAGATATTTGCACTGAAAAATATCGAAGCGGATTCTGTCGGAATTGAGCAGCCACGCCGAATCAAGCGAGTCAAGCAGCTTGCGTAGTACATCGGAGATGATGTATTTTCTTTCTATGCCGAAGGATGTGCGAGACCATAGCTTATCCAGTTGCATGAACGTCCTGCTGCCCCCCCCCCCCAGTCGTCGCGTCAATCATGTTCCGACTTCGCCATCGCATGTGATCCACCAACCCTCAAATCCAAATCGCATCTCGTGCAACTTTCATGCAGCGGCCTGCCAGCCCTGAAACGGCGCTGCACGTAGAAATCTGCATGTGAAATGCTTCGCCCAAGTGGAGTTCAAGGCAACATATCATTACTTCGCCCAGTATGTCGGCAAGCATCCTTTGAACATTGCCCGGGCTCTGCGAAGCAATCGGGGCGTCGCTGGCACGCGGGATTTCGCGCGACACCAAATATGCCAGTTCTTGTTTTCTACGCAGCTCACCAAACGACTCGCGTAGCATACCTGTTTAAATTGCGATCAACAAGCACGGCGAGAGGGGGCGCCCTCGGGCCACACCTTCCCACCGATGCCCTCGAGAAGAGTGGCACGCGCGATCCACGACGGCAAAATAGCGAGCCGCGCAAACTGACATCACAGTTTGCACAGGGCACTGCGGCAGACCTATCCGTTCCAAAGCGCGGCGCGCGCAGTCTGGTTCGAGCCTGTCGAAAGCTTCTGCCCAGTCAACAACGAGCAGAAGCGCGCCTCGATTGCAATTCAGAAGCGCTGCCTCGACCACCCGCCGGGCCGCCGATAAAGCCTCGCCGGCGCAACTTTCGGCCGGGAGACAAATTGGCAGTTGGGGGATTCCCATTATTTCCCCAGTTCCTCCTTGAATCGACCCGCCGCGCAAAACAGACGCAAAGATCTTGCGCCCAAGTGACAGCAGAGCGGCGCCCCTGTGTTCGAGAAGCAAGACGAGGTTCGCGGGCCCCCACGACTCGGGAATAAATTTTCGCCCCACCATGGGCAGCACATACCAGAAACACATCGCAGGCCACCTCACCCCTAGCGAAGACGGCCGAAAATGTCCGGCGGCGCGTCGCTAGCACCAGCGGCCTCGCAATATTTGAATTCGCGCAATGCTGTTTTCAACTCTGCTACGTCGACGGTTTCGGCGTCGACGGGCCACGCGCCACCCGGCGTGCCATCGCGTTC